AGCTCCACCGAATGCCTCAGTGGCAGGGTTCGCATGCAGTTCCACCCTCATCTCGGCGCACCGCTCACACGGCTCGTGGCCCCATAGGGAGCTCCACCGAAGGCCCCAACGGCAAGGTTCGCATGCAGTTCCGCCTGCATTTCGGCGCACCCCTCACACACGGTTCGTGGCCCCATAGCGGGCTCCATCGAAGGCCCCCGTGGCAAGGTTCGCATGCAATTCCACTGTCATTTAGGCGCACCCCTCACACGGGTCGTGGCCCCATAAGAAGCTCCACCGAAGGCCCCCGTGGCAGGGTTCGCATGCAGTTCCACTCACATTTCGGCGCACCCCTCACACGGTTCGTGGCCTCATACGGAGCTTCACCGAATGGCTTGAGTGGCAGGATTCGCATGCAGTTCCCTCATTTCGGCGCACCGCTCACACGGCGCGTATCCCCACAGGGAGCTCCATCGAAGGCCACAGCGGCAGGGTTCGCATGCAGTTCCACCTTCATCTCGGCGCACCCCTCACGCGGTCCGTGGCCCCATACGGAGCTCCACCGAAGGCCCCAGCGGCAAGGGTCGCATGCAATTCCGCCCACATGTCGGTGCCCCTATCACACGGTTCGTGGCCCCATACGGAGCTCCATCGAAGGCCGCATTGGCAGGGTTCGCATTAAGTTCCAACCTCATCTCGGCGCACCCCTCAAACGCTTGAGCTCCACCGGATGCCTCAGTGGCAGGGTGCGCATGCAGTTCCACCCTCATTTCGGCACACCCCTCACACGGTTCGTGGCCCCCATAGGAAGCCCCACCGAGTCATTTCGGCGCACCCCTCACATGGTTCGTGGCCCCATAGGGAGCCCTTTCGAAGGCCCCAATGGCCGCGTCCGCATGCGTCCCCCCGCCCCTTTCGGCAAACCCGTCACGCGTTTCGTGGTCCCATCGGGAGCTCTTCCGAAGGCCCCAGTGGACGCGTCCGCATGCGTCTCCCCGCCCATTTCGGCACACCCTTCACACGATTCGTAGCCCCATAGGAAGCTCCACCGAAGGCTCCAGTGGGAGGGTTCGCATGGCACCACCGCACCCAGTTCGGCACACCCCGCACACGGTTCGTGGCCCGACGGGGAGCTCCACCGAAGGCTCCAGTGGGAAGGTTCGCATGGCACCACCGCACCCAAGTCGACACACCCCTCACACTGTTCGTGGCCCCATAGGGAGTTCCGCCGAAGGCTCCAGCGGGAAAGTTCGCATGGCACCACCGCACCAAATTCAACACACCCCGTCACACGTCCCGTGGCCCCAGAGGATGCTCCACCGAAGGCTCCAGTGGGAGGATTCGCATGGCACCACCGCGCCCAATTCGGCACGCCCCTCACACGGTTCGTGGCACCATAAGGAGCTCCACCGAAAGCGGTATCCACAATGCGGCACTCGCAACTGCATATGGTTGGGTCTTTCGTCGGGCTCATTTGTTCGGGGCCGAGAGTGCCCCAAGACGGGCCAAGAAGGCCCCAACAGGCCGCCCAGAGGGCCCAAAGGTGCCCCGAATCGCCGCACGGTCAATCCAAGACGCCCAAAATGGCCGAAGACGGCCTAAGAAACCTTCGCAACGACCCAAGAGAGCCACGGAAGCTTTCCTCAGAAGGCCAATGCCAGCATCATTATCTTTCCCTGTCTACGCAATGTGACGTCCCAAGGAACCCCCAAGATCACCCCGAGACGGCCCAGGAGGCCCCCAAGAGGGCCCAAAGACAGCCCAAACGGGCCCCCACACAGACCAAGGCGCCCAAGACGGCCGAAGAAGAGGGCCCAAAGACGGCCCCAAGAGGAGCCCAAGATGGACACGACACGAACAGCTGAGCCTTCCGTCCCGAGAGGCGCCCAGGAGGCCCCAAGAGGCCCACAAGACACCCCAAAGGCCCCCTAGAGGCCCCCACGAGGCCACAAGAGGCCCCGAGGCCCCCAAACAGCTCCCCCGCAGGCCTCAAAACTGTCTCCAGGAGGCGCCCTGGAGGCCCCGACGAGATCCCAACGAATATCCAACAGGACTCAGCAGGCACGGTGGCGGAATGGGCTGTATGTCTGTGTGTGTATGCATGCATGCATGCATGCATGTATGTATGAATGTATGCATGTCTGTATACATGTATGTATGCATGCATGTATGTATGCATGGATGTATGCATGTATGTATGTATGTATGTATGTATGTATGTATGTATGTATATATGTATGTCTGTGTGTATGCATGCATATATGTACATCAGTATGTTTATATACAATCATGCATCTACCTAAATCGAAATATTGGCCACACAGCTATGCATGACGATACACATACATTTCTAAAATGCATAAACATAAATATACTCATAGCGAGAGAGGGAACGAGGGATAGTGCAAACGAGAGAGAGAGAGAGAGAGCGACCCAGAGAAAGAGCGAAAGAGAGAGGGAAATATATAGATAGAGAGAGAGAGAGAGAGAACGAGAGAGAGAGGGAGGGAACGAAGATAGACGTGTTCCATCAGGAATGAGACCCCTCAGGAACTGATTAGCGCGGCCAATCGCAACGACTGAACACTGCTTGTATGCAACGCAACGAGGGAAGGCTGCACATTATACAACATGTGCATCATGGTGCACGGAGTGAGGCCGTCAACGAAACGTATGCGGCGGCCGCACACGATGCCCAGAAATCCGACCTGGTGGCCCGGAAGGGTGTGGTGCGGTGCCGTGCTGTGGCGCCTTGCCTCCCCCCCTTGAATCCGAATCGTTGTGCGCTTCAATGACGTGCGTGGTGCCCACGGCAACGGATTTTTTTTGTCGGTTCAGGGATATACTATGCGAGCCGCACTTCGGCAGGCAGTGTAAAGGAATTGAATGTGTGGCACCATGCTGATGTGTGAAACCCCGTAATCGAATTGCATGATCAAAGGGGGGGATGGGGCGAATGGCGTCGCGCCACGTGGTACCGCGCCGGAAGTTTCCTCGCCCCTTGTGTTTGGAATTGACGGACGCTGCTTCAGTGCAATCGCCTGTTCCGCTGCCCCTGAAATCCCACCAGCCCTTTGGGCGTGAGTGGTTTAAGGAGCCCTCTCTGTTCTCAACCCCCCTTCTTCCCCTTCGGGGAGGGGTTTACCCCTCCCCCTACCCCCTCCCCCTGGGCCTGGAGAGGGGGTTCCGCGGGTCGTTGGAGGGGTCTTTTCCGACTCCTGGGAGGGCTAAAAAACGACAACCCTCACGAGGATTCTGGCCCCGACGGGGGGGCGCAGATAGGTCCCTCTCCTCTTCTTTGAAGCGAAAATCATTGATTTTACTACGGTGTTGGCCCCATGTTGGTCTCCTGAGGGGGCCGCGCTCATCTTCCTTCATAGCGAAATCCTTGATTTTATGCAGGTTTTCGGCTCATTTTGTCCTTCTCAGGGGGCAGCGCTCCTTTGCGCTTCAGAGGATGTCGCAAGAGGCCCCAAGATGGCCCCAAGAGGCCCCCAGGAGCCTCCCAAGAGGCCTCCAAGAGGCCCCCAAGAGGCCCCCAAGAGGCCCCAAGAGGCCCCCAAGAGGCCCCCAAGAGGCCCCCAAGAGGCCCCCAGAGGCCCCACGAGGTCCCCAAGAGGCCCCCTAGAGGCCCCCAAGAGGCCCCCAAGAGGCCCCCAAGAGGCCCCAAGAGGCCCCCAAGAGGCCCCACGAGGAGCCCAAACGACTCACACCACGACGAGGGGCCCGAACGACTCGCACCACGAAGAGCCGAAACGACTCACACCATAAGGAGGGGCCCGAACGACTCACACCAGGACGAGGCGCCCGAACGACTCACACCACGAGGAGCCCGAACGACTCACACCACGACGCGGGCCTCGAACGACTCACTCCACGAGGAGCCCAAACGAGTCACACCAGGAGGAGGGGCCCGAACGACTCACACCAGGATGAGGGGCCCGAACAACTCACACCACGAGAAGCCCGAACGACTCACACCAGGACGAAGAGCCCGAACGACTCACACCACGAAGAGCCCGAACGACTCACACCAGGAAGAAGGGCCCGAACGACTCACACCAGGACGAGAAACCCCAAACGACTCAAATCACGAGGAGCGCTTTCTCTCCCTCCTCCTCCGCCTCGTCCTTCTCCCGCTCCCCCCACAAGGAGGATGTACAAGGAGGCGGGAGGAAGGAGGAACAGGGGAGATATGCGGGGCCAAGCGGACACACGCCTGAAAAACACGACTGTCGGCATGCTTCGCAAGAGTTGCTGCTGTGAGATGGGCTGGTGGGGATACGCGAAGCGTAAAGAATTACATGCTTTCGGCTGGCATCGGATCTTGCCTGGATTTCACGCACATTGCTCAAACACACAAGTAATCCTACAAACCTTCTAGGCGTAGCTGGCATAGGCTTCCAGCTCGAATAAGCCCGTCCATTTGCATCCAGAACGCGGGGTTACCCCTCCCAGTCACCCCCTCCCTTGGGTCTGGATGGGGGGGGGGAGCCCGCGAGCGGTCAGATCGTCCAGTACGGCCCAGTCTGGCTCGAAGGTGGCCTCAGATAGCCAAATCGTATCTCTAAGATAAGTAGAATCCAAGATTGCATAGGCCCTCCTGCCACATGCCTACATGAAGCCCATCGGCTACCACACGACGGCTTGAAGTGGCAGGGGGGCCTCCCAAACATACTCCCGAGAGGCAAACATCCTTCGATCACCTATTGTGTGTTCAATGTGTTTGAGCTTCTCGTATGGGCTCGTCAAGCTTCGAGATGTCCCCAGGATCGCCCAAGAGGGTCCCAAGAGGAGCCCACACGAGCCCGTAGACGGCTCCAAGGACCTTCTCCAAGAGCATCCAGGGAGCGCCACAAGGGGGTATCCAGAAGCTTGTTGTCTGTCTCCGACGGGGGATGGACACGATTGAATCCCCCCCTCCATTCTGATCGACGGGGAGGGCCCCGAGAGCCCTCTAAAGAGCTCCCCAAAGAATACCAAGAAGGCCGTACGAAACGCAAACCAGTATGGTATCGCGCCTCTCCGCTGTCACGGAAAGCACTGCAGTCGTCCATGAATGCCTGCGCGTCGCCCTGTACGGGAGACCCTTCAACTCATGGAAACAATGCGACGGGCATTTGAAGGATACCGGGCCCATTGGCCGCGACTCGGAGCGTTCTTTCGAGGATGCCCCGCGCGGAACGGATCCGTGCGACCGCGTATCCGCGGGATCGCGCCCCGGAATCCAGACCGCGAGGGCGCGGATACGAATATGTTCGCCGCTCGTGACATCTCTCCTTCTACACCGTGACAGGGCGTTTCTCCAACGCCTCAGCGCGTAGAGCACACAAGGTCGTGAAGAGGCTGCGCAAAACGCGAGGCCGCCCTGCTGGGATGGCCGCCCGACGAGCGCGATTGCGCGCACGTGCACGGGCTCAACATCACCGCTCCCTGAGGGGGAACGCTAGGGGGGACTGGTCCAGGGTGGGGCGGAACAGCGAACTAGAAACGGCGATGCATCGCCGATAGACCGGTGGTAGGCCCCGATAACGGGTCCCACGTTCAGGGTGGAGTGGGCTATCGGGCCCTTGTCGGCGATACGTGGCGAGACTGGGGGGTGGGTGCACCCCTGAGCCCATCCCCCCTAACAATGCCCCTGACTCCCTCCGCCCCGACCCCTCCCTCCCGCCTGGCACCCGTCTGGCTATACACCTGCACCCATATGGCACGGGCAGAAAGGCACACGCCTCGATGCTGGGCACAGCACTGGCCTGGACAGGATCGATGCACGTGTGTCGTCGGCACCTGGAGCCAGTTGTGCCTGCGAGGCCGCTCCACCAAAAAAGAGTGTGAAACGCTGGGCCGTCGCTGCGAAACGTCCAGGCCGCCCCGATAAAGCGCTGGGGGCAGGCTGAGCTCTGGAAGCAGCGGCAGCCGGTCAGCGCAGCCGCTCCACGAGCCACTTCACGGCGGCGCTGATCGCCAGCCCCACGACGAGCCTGGGCACGGTGGGGGGCGTCCAGAAGCACAGGGCGTGGACGAGGAGGAAGAGGGAAAGGCGACGGAAGAGACAAAGAGGAAGAGGAAGCTGATGAGAACGACGCCGAGGAGGAAGGGAGGAGGAGGAGGAGGAGGAGGAGGAGGAGGAGGAGGAGGAGGAGGAGGACGGGAAATATGGGAACCTGACGAGCTGAAACAATGGCAGGCGGCGGAGGAGCGGGACTGGGAGCAAGAGGGTAGGGACGAAGAGGAGGGGAGGAGGATAGGGGAGGAGGACGAAGAGGAAGAGGGCCTAACTCGAAGGTGTGCCTGGGGTACCCCCCCCCTCCACCCGAGGCGAGAGGTCTGGGGCAGCCCGGGCGGCCCCTGAAGCCGGCCGTTGCTCCTCTCTGCCAGCACGAGGCTGCTGAGGTCCTCGGGGGTGGTGTCCGTGGTCTCCGTGGTCGGGGCCGCCTGGCGCCGCTCCTGCACGGGGGGGCATGCACGAGGATGCTACACGTACTCGACCGTGGAACCTGCTGGCGCACTTCGCGAAACCTTGGCACCCCTCACCTGGCGCAGGAGGCGCCCACGAGGCGCCCACAAGCGGGCACCGCGCGAGACACCGGCCCACCCACCGAACAAGAGAAGCCGACAGGCGCCCGCCAGCCGGGCACGGGGAGAAAGCATGAGGAGGGGATTGCTACACGTATGCGACCGTGGAACGCTTGCTGCCCATCGGCCGAGGGCGGCCGCGGTCTTCCGACGGCCCTCGGCGGTCGTCTGACCTTCCCCAGTGGTCTTCTAGCCATTTGCTGACGGTCTTCTCCAGTCTATTCGGCGGACTTTGGCGGCCGGTGGCTTCTAACAGTTTTCGGCGCGAAAGCCTGATGGTTGCGTCCAATGGGTCCATGATCGGACACCTAAGGATATGTAAAGGGGAACAGGTCCAAGCGATGTGCAACCAGGCTGCGCCACCTCACCACCACCATATGTGCACCAAGCTGGCGCCCTACCAGAACATAAGTCCGACGAATTAGAGGCATTTCCTTATGGAAGGCGTACGTGTGCAGAGGACAACAAGTAAGACAGCAGGGCCAATGACAAACATTGATGCACAAATGCAAGTCTGTTTCTGAAGATGCGGAAATATAGGGCGGCCTGTGCGCCAAATCGCTTGGCACGTTCATGAACCAGAAGCCGCCTGGTCAGACGGAAGGCCTCGCTGCAGCTTGCTCGGGAGGATAGGGGGGGAATTTCGTGGTGGACTGGCTCTGCCAAGGAGGCATCAATAGCCCAAATCACCGCCAAGCGACGTGGATCATCGTGGGCGCTCTCATTCAGCTAGCCTCACTAAACCCCTGTCGGCACACCCCTTCATACGCTCCGTTGACCTATGGGGAGCTCCACGGAAGCCCCCGTGACTGCCTTTGCACGGCGGCACCGCGCCTCTTCCAGCCCGAGAAGTTCACACATTTGCCATCTCAGAAACGGTCCATCAATCCTGAAGCCTTCTTGAATCGCCCCTGCGGAGCTACAGCGCAACAGTTGAACGTTATCACAAAATGTGTTGAGGCTGGTGGTGAAGATGATGATGGTAGTGGTGATGGTGATGGTGTTGTTGATGATGATGATGATGATGATGATGATGATGGTGGTGTTGATGATGATTATGATGATGCTGCTGCTGATGATGATGGTCATCATCATGCTGCTCACGATGCTGACGATGATAATGATGATGATGCTGATGCTGATGATGATGGTGATGATTGTGATGGTGGTGATGATGCTCATGATGCGTATGATGCTTATGACGATGATGATGGTGATGATGATGCTGCTGCTGATGCTGATGATGCTGCTGATGATGAAATGCTTATGATGAGGAGAATGAGGAGAGGAAGGAGGAGGAGGAGGAGAAGCAGCAGCAGCAGCAGGAGAAGTTCGAGAAGGAGGATGAAGAGGAGGAGCAGGAGCACGAGGCCGAGCGCAAGCACGGTTCTGTTTGCCACAGAGGGGCGGGGTCCCTCCGGGCAGTCGTCGTCCTTCTGCCACGGAGGGGGGAAGAATCTCGCCCTGGCAGAAATATAGAACAACGGCACAAACACAAACATATGAAGCTCAGTGCGGAGCTTCGAAAGCTGATGTTCATGCGGTCGCTACTCTTCGATCGTCGCTCTCCTGCCACGGAGGAGGAGAGAATGCAGCCCGACTGCGGCTGGACGATCAATGGAGACGCGCTGTCCTTGACAGGCTCCGTCGCGGCTCCGTTCCGGTCCCGCTTCTCGGCGACGGCCTGCGGCCCGCCCAAATTCGACTTGCCACTCTGACACTCGTGCTCCCGCTTTTATCCGGAACCTCCCGCCGTCTCCCCGCCAAACTGGTCCTCCTCCCCTTGTCGTCGACATCCTCCTCCTCCTCGCGCACTGCGGGCAAGGCGGTCCTGTTCCGCCGCAGCCCGCGCCGCGCGCGCGCCCGAGCGCGCGTCGCGACGCAAGACCCCCTACCTCTGAGATCCAGTGGAGGGGCCTCAAAAAGCCTCTGAAAGGAACGCGCGATCCCCGAAGGCCCAACACCGAAAGGGCGACGGAGAAGCGCGAGGACCCCAGGACCGACGGAGGAGGGGGAAAGAGAGGGAGGAGCCTCCTGGGCGCCTGCTCCTCCTCCTCCTCCGCCTCCTTGTCTTCTGCCGTGAAGGCAATGGGGCCCTCCTGGAGAGAGCGGGTCCTGGATCCTCGGGCCTCCACCCGTGGCCAGCTCCTCTTCCCGAGCCGACCTCCCCGCCGGACAGCACGATGCCGTAAGGGGTCTGGGCTGCTTTAGGGGGCCACATGCGGACCCTATACCCCTACCCCCCACGATTTCTGAGGGGGAGGGGTAGGGGTTCACCCTCAGAAATCGTGCGGGGTAGGGGTAGGGTTCGCATGTGGCCCCCTATGCGTGACGAGAGAACCCGCTTCTAGGCCCCTGATGCATGATAACGGACCACCCGCGCTGTGACATCCCATGCCCGTGCGCCGTGCCTCGTCGACAGAAGTAGACGAGCGCGTTCCACGACTCGCAAAGTAGCTATTCGCCAGTGGCCTGGATCCCCCGACGGGGATCTACGACAAATTGCACCAAAGCAGACATGTGCTTTTCGGACGCTTGCGAATAGGCACTTTGCGAATAGTGGAACGCGCCCTGTGAAGACAACGGAAAAACTGCCACTGGTGCCGTGTCGCGCCGTGCCCGTGCGACGCGCCGGGGCAAGAGAATGCGAGTCGGCGGTGGACGAACCTCCCGTTGTAAACCTCTCATTAGTGAAAGCGGCCTGGGACCGAAACCGACGGATCTGGACCCGCGAAAATGACGGCCGCGACGCCCTCTCGCAAACCGAAAACGGCCAATTCCTCAATCGACGTGTCAGGGTAGGAGGTCTGTCCATCCCCGAGCGAACAACAGCATGGGCCCCCTTTGCCACGTCGTGTGCCGTTCCTCAACAACGGCATGCGAGCAAGTTGCTGCTCGTGCCAGGCCAGGCCGTGCCCGCGTGCCGCGCCCAAACAGAGCACTCAAACAAAGTACAGTCGGGGCGTTGACCTGAGGAACCCTAAAAAAGGAACGCGGCCCTTTTGCTTCATAGGTTAAGCTTCGACTTCCCACCAAACACTTCAGGACAACATTGGGCAAGGTGTGGAACAATGAAGGAACACCGAGCCCCTCCCCAACGAAAAGGGTTCCTTCTTCAGCGCCCCGACTGTACAGGCGGGTTATTGCGCACAGGACGCGCGACAGGACACATGACTCTTCCGACGGCAACATGGCGTCCCAAACCACAGGACACAAGGGCACCCTGCCGAGGCCGCGACCGCGGTTACCCGCGGCCGACCCGCAACCCCGCGACGGGCGGCGCACGCCAGACAGGACGCCAAGGGTATCCGACAGGCCGCGCCGCTCGCCGCGTGAGAAATCTTGCGTGGCGTGTCGCCCGCGCCTACCCACCTTCGGGGGCGATCGCGCGACCTGTCGCCATGGCAGAGGACGAGAGAACCAGGACGCGGCCGCGGACGTCGCAAACGAGAGGACGCGCAGACCACCCTCCCGCAGGAGAGCGACCTGTCGCCAGGGGACAGGACCAGAGGACCTGGGCGCGGCCACGGACGTCGCAATCGAGAGGACGCGGAGAGCACCCTCCCGCGGCAGAGCGACCTGTCGCCATGGCGGAGGACGAGAGAACCAGGGCGCGGCCGCGGACGTAGCAAACGAAAGGGTACCCGCAGACGTCGCAATCCGAAAGGACGCCAGGGTACCCTAGACAGGTGCCGCGACCTCCCGCCGGCGCGACGCGCTCAGACCGCCGCGGGCCAAGCCAAGGACACCCGCGGAAACCACAGGACGCAAGGGTACCCTGCCCTTCGGCCGCAGAGGACACGACGCGCGATGCACAGGACACAAGAGCACCCTTGATTTCGCAGGGCCGACCTACTAATGGAACCCGACTGTATCACAAACTTGTCGCCCATGCAATGTCGGGCCCGTGTGCCGAGCCGCGTCTAATTTCTAGAATGCGAGAAAATCGGGAGCGGCCAAGAGGGGGGAGTCCAAGAGGGGGGGGGTGCAAATCATGACCGGCGGCATGTGCGCGGCCCAGCGGGGGGACCAGGGACGTAATGAAATAAGAAGAAACGCCATGAAATCTGGGGAAATATCATGGCCCCCGCCATGATGTCCCCACACACCCCTAGTCATCACCCCCCTCTTTTCTGCCCGCGCAAAAAAAAGGCCTTCCACGTGCCATCCGTGCCGAAATCGGGAAAAACGCCTGGATTGAAAACGCAAGTCGTCGGATGTCTGTGCGCACAGTCAAGCTGGATCGTGTGAAGCGCTGCACAGGGAGCGAAGCCCACCTGCCACCCCCCCAAAAAACGCCACGGTGCCCCAGGAGCGTCAGAATCTCACGAACAGCGAGCCCCTTCCGATCCCGAGCCGTTCTTTCCTTCAGCGTCTCGGCTGCAGGTCTGCAAGTCACCGGTGCACCGAAGACTGGCGGTGCGCACAAGGGGGATAGGGGGAAGGGGGAAGGCTGCTTAAGAGGAGGCTGCCCCTCAGAAGGCGCGGGCCTTACGTCTACAGGCAAGGCCCGCGCCTTCCAAGAAGCGGGGGCGCTTCTGAGGAGCCTACCCCCCTCCCCCTACCCCCCTCTGCGCGTGGCCGAAGAGAGGGGGAGGGGGCCCAGGAGGGGGGGAGGCGCACAATGGCCCGAGGCATGTGCGCGGGCGAGCGGGGGACAGAGGACGTGCCGAGCGACGAAGAAGGGGCCATGGAACCTGGGAGACTCCATGGCTCCGGCCGTGGAATCTCCCAGGTTCCACGTCGTAGCGCGGCAGAGGCAGTCACATCCACATGCACACGTGACATCCAGTCCACACTGACACGATTTCAGCGGCTCCTGCCCGTGATATCCACATACACACGCACACACACACTTGTTTTACGTCGGCGGCTAGGTGGAGAGACTGCGCTGGCGAAAGACATACACACAGTGCTCACCCCCCTCGACACCTGGTGGTTCTTCCCTCTCGGTTGGTTCTCAGGTCGTCACTCGGGCCTCTGGCGGCCGTTCGGACCGATTCGGGTATCCCCAGAAAACTCTCGACGAGTCGTTGCCGCTGGAAGGCATCCCGCGGCGAGAAAACCTCCAAAACCTCCGTCTCGGACGCCCCCGAAGCACCCGTCGGTCGGAAGAGGTGGGTAGAAGCATGAAGCACGAAGGCGCCTCAAGTAGATTGGAACCTAGAAGCCCCAAAATATTGGTTCAACGACCGATGGGTAAGTCCCTGCCTCTGGCCTGAGGTCTCTCAAACGGGGTCCGGGTAGATGGGGTCGGAAGATCGCGCCGCATCGCCGATGCATCGGCGCCGCCGGCGTGGAACGAATCGAGATCCACATCGAGCCGCATCGTCGACTCACTGGCCATGCGGAGCGATCCTCCGACCCATCTGGGGAAACCAAGAGGTACCGATACCGCTACTCCCTGGACCTCTCCCAGGGTGCGCCCTGACCAGGATTTCGAGGCGAATCCAGCGGTGGCGACGAGGGCTTCCCAGGAGGCTCACAAAGGGGAAACACCGAGGCAAGGGTACCGGCATCGGTACCCTCTCCTCCTCTGAGATCCTCCGACCCATCTACTTGGACCCAACCTGGGGGGCCCACAAAGGACGTACGAGCCCAACCATGTACATGAATTAACACGGCCCCCCAATCCGCGAGACCGGCCGCGTGATACGATCGTTCGCGCTCCCCGCGGACGTTGCAGCAGCTGCTGTGCTGGGGTGCTCTGCAGATGGCTCCCCCCCCACACACACACAGAAAAAAAATCACACCTCGCGCGAGGGTCTGCCTGGCTGACTTCTTGCGAGGGTCTCTTGCGGCCGCGTCAGCACTGTACTCGGGGGCGTCCAAGAGGAGAGCGTTCAAGGGGGGTGGGGGGCGTATTGAAATGGGACGAGGCGCCATGAGATCTGGGGAGGCATCATGGCCCCCGCCATGATATCCCCTCCCCCCTAACACTCATCACCCCCTTCTTGGCCGCCCCCGATGTACGCGTCCTTCCTTCGCTCCCAACTTTTGGGGGAAGCAAAAGGTGCCGATACCGCTACTCCCTGGACCTCTCCTGGGGTGCGTTCCGACCAAGATTTCGAAGCGAACCCAGCGGTGGCGACGAGGGCCTCCCGGGAAGCCCCCAAGAAGGGGAAAGCGAGGGAAGGCTAGCAGTACTGGCTACCTCTCCCTCCTCTGACATTCTGGGGGGGGCCTGGAGCCTGGAGCCTCAGGGCGCAGCCGAGCGCGCGGGGCGCGGGCCGGGCCCCCGCCTCGGTCAGCCACAACTGCGCCACGCCGCGGCGCGTCGCGCCCCTCCGGCGGGCGGAGCGGGGCGGGCGCCGGCGGCCCCCGCCCACGCGGCACCGCCCCGCCGCAGGCCCACCCCCGAGGGGAAGCCAGGACGAGGACAGAGTCGGGCGAGGAGCAATTCCCGGAGGGCTCCTCGCCCAGACCCCCGCGAGTCATGACAAAAATCACGACGGGAAATTTGTCCATAGTTTCGGACTCTGGGGGGCCCTTGCCGGGCCTCGGGACCGTCAAAAAACGATTCGGGATGAAAAACTGGTCCCAGGGAATGGGTCGATACCTCTGGGGGTCGACGTAATGAACAAAATCATGACGTTGGGGGTCTGGGCGGAGTGCCAAGAGGGCTTCAGATCAAGAAGCTGGAGCCGCATGGCAGCCCCGGAGCTCGTTCCGGCTTCCGGCCGGAATCCCCGGCGCGGCCGGTTTGAACCTGCAACGTGTTCCGGCAAGCCTTTTTCTTAAGCGTTTCCCAATACGCGTGCCCGGAAGCTCTCCAGAAGGTCCTTCGGAAGCTCTCCCGAGGTCCTTCCAAAGTTCTTCTCCAGGCCTTCCCACGCCCTTCTGTCGCCCTGTAATCTGGGTTTTGGGTCCCACAAATCGAGAATCTCTGAGATCCGGCCGCTCTGGACTCTGGAGGATGTCTCGGGCGCCGCGGACTCCTCAGAGCGCTCCGGAACGCTCCGAGAGCGCTCCAGAACGCTCTGGAACGGATCTGTCCTCGTCCCAGCCCCGTCCGACCCCCACACCCCCTGGGTGGGGTGGTCGGCGGGTGCGCTCGGCTGCATCAGGGGCGTCTTCCCAGAGCTCCGACGGCATGGTTTTTCCCCTGTCCGAAAGGTTTTGTTCCTTGGCTTCGGCCTCTGGGGCTGGTTTCCCGGTCCCCAGAGCTATCAGAAGTGGATCTGGGACGGAGACCTAGCCCCTGGAACCTCAAGGGCCGCACACTGAAACAATCATATCATCAGATGTCTAGGTGCTCGTGCTCATAGGGCCACCCTTTGGGTGATGAGGAGGGTTGTGGCGAGGTTGGGGACCTTGCGCTTCGACGTTGACTCCGCCTTCCATTTCGATGCAAGTCCAGACGTGCGCGTCGGTCAGAAGGCCGCTGTTCCAGGTTGGAGTCGCTTGGCATGAAGGGCACGGGTCCTGGATAAAATGGGTCCAGAATTGACGTTCGCTGGTCTGGGGCACCTGGGGCCCTCCACGGGCCTTCGGGCCAGCAACTGAAACGGCTGGTCCTGGGGAAAGCCCCCGCGTCTAGGACCCGTTGCCCGCAGGACCCGTTTCTGTCGAGGGCAAGGTCGGAGGAAAAGAACGAGGCGACTCCAACCTGCAAGTCGGCAAGCGGAGCAAGTCGACATGGGAACCGACGTTCAAATCCAAGTGCAAGTTCCTCAGCCTCGCCCCAACCTCCTTATCAGCCGAAGTGGTGGTCTAGTTCGTTACGAACTGGAGTATGAGCGACAGTCAGCGTGCTACCGCAAGAAGCGATGGATAGGACACAACGGAGCAGTTTGGGCCACGGCGAGTTTAGCCAAGAATAAGTCCTCCGACCTAAATCCACGGAGCGGCCCGAAAACCAGAGCCCCTACCGTGCCCAGAGTTTTTTTCAAGGGTACGACCTGAATCTAAGAAACGGCCCGACCACCCGAGAAACTGCTGAGCCCAGAGTGGCTTTATATTTCAGGTGGCATGAGAAAGAGGACGGGGAGAAGGCGGATGACTATCGTGACAGATCGGATGCCTTGGACTCGACGTCTCCCAAGCTCCGAGCTAAAGGAGCATGCCAGGAGGAAGACGGGGAAGGGAGAGGAGGGATGAGCAGGGGGAAGAACGACCATTCACTCCGCTCACTGGAGCTCTGTGATGGTACATCGGCTTCATGCAAGAACGAGCCTAGACCAGAATGACCTTGGTGCTCGGCGCAGGCTTGCCGATCTTTGCATGCGATGCTACGGTAGCGATCTGCGTGCCCTTGGGTGAGCCTCCCCCCTTTGCCGAAAGCTGCCTCCCCCAAAGGTAATTCTGGCGAAGGGTCACCCTTGAGTCTGTCTGGCTTTCGAGCCGTACGTGGGGGTCTCTGGCGGCCGTTCGGGACGACGCAAGCAACCCAAGAACGCTCTCGGCGAGACGAAGCTGCTGGAACGTCCTCCGAGGAACAGAAAACAGGAACCGACAGTAACGTCCAAAAGTGCCTTACGTGCCGATCATCGTAGAGCAAGCGCCCTCACGGCCCTGCTGGGAAAACGCCCGCAAACATCGAGTCGATGTCTCCAGAGCATTGCACGGGGCCCTCCCGACGGATGCACGCGCGCATGCGCCGATCCTGGGCCAGGGACTGATCTGCGGGGCGTGAGCTGGCGCAGCTGTACGACAAGTTCGTGTCGTGACGCTTTATGCGCTGGACTCTGGCGCAGCATGGATCGTTCATTTAAGCCGGAGTAGTGGGTCTGGTCCGCAAGGAAAGGTGCGATACTACGAGAAAGAATTGGCGCCTGGAAACAATAGGTTGCGCGCTGGATGCTGGAGTTGCGCGTGGATGCACTTGTGTGAATGTTGTTATTCTGCAGCCCTTGTCGCCTGTGTAATAGATCGCGCCCCTCCGCAATAGTTGACTACTGCATCGGCGTCCCGAAAGATTCGTGATTACATGAACTGCGATCGTCTTGCGTTGGCAGGGGCCGGATTTCCCCTGGTGGGATTTCTGAATCCGTGTGCTTACTTCGGGAATTCAAAACTGCCCGCTTCAGGTGAATCTGATTATATGAAAAGATAAAGCCCCGCATGCTAAAAGCCTGGATCTTTATCATAATCCGACTGCTCCTGACTCAGCTCGGTAGGATTCTGGGGGGAAGGGGAGGGGGGGGGGCTGCTCAGGTTGGGTCGGAACAGGGGTTCACCTCTGCCTCCCCGCTCAATCGGCTGTAACGGACGAAGCTCCTATCATCTTCACGCTCTCCAGAAAAACGTCACGAACCCCACTAACGGCGTAGTGCTGCACGCAATGGCACACAATTGAGCAGCGATTGCACCTCCCGCCGCCGATCCATCTCCGCAGGACCCACTGCTCCAGCGTGGAGTTCGGCCCTGAGGCAGGGCCAGCTCGGGGCCGCCGCCGGCATTGGAACCTGTAGCGCCCGCGCGGGGGTCGCCGCCGCGTCGACGCGACACGGGCCTGCCGCAGGCCTCCACGGCAGGGGGTCGGTCCCCCGAGGCCTCCAGGGGCCGCACGGAGGCCCGAAGGAGGCCCAGATCACCAGAGGGCTGTCTTCGGACCTCGAGGGGCGGAGAAACAGGAGGCAACGTGACCGAAGGAGAGGGAAGAGGACGGCGACGACGAACGCCCCAGGCCCAGGCCAGTCATGGCCCAGGAAGCGGTGCAAGCGGACAGCCCCTGACATCCAGCCGATCGACTTGTTCGAGACATGGGATATGTTTCTCATGGATCTGTTTTCTCAGGGGTGGCTAATTAATTACATGTACGTCACTGTCCGATGCCCAACATGGGCAACCCGACACCTGCAAATGCGAAAAACGTAATTTTTGATCTTGGTTCCTTCCGGATGTTCGAGGTCTGGGCACGCATCTGTCAAACGTTGGCACCTAGATCAACACGTTGGAGGTCTGGGAAGTTGACGTCCCTCCACCACGCCCAAGCCCTCGGTCTGTGGCTACGAGGACCCTCCTTTAGGCCCCAAAAAGATGATCGACCATCCTCCACCCTCGAGGCCCATCCTCGATTTCCGTAATGGATACAGGCAAGCGAGAGATACCGATACCGCTACCTCCTCCATGCACCTCTCCCGAGCTGCGTTCTGACCAGGACTTCGAGGCGAATGTGGCCGTGGCGACGAGGGAAGGGCAGCGGGATCGGTACGACAGGCTCGTGTCGTACCGACTTCGGCGTTGGCTGCTGACACCGCAGAACGATCGGCCGTTCCCGAAACGTCAGATCATTCGACGTCGACAGATTCTGGGTCGCCTAGGCCTCCTAGATGGGGTCCGGGTAGATGGGGCCGAAGGATCTCAGAGCATCGCCAACGCATCGCCGATGTATCGGCGATGCATCGGCGACGTCGACGTGAAGCAAGCCAGGCTGCACATCGAGCCGCATCGGCGATGCATCGGCGATGCGGTGCGGTCCTCCGACCCCCTCTGCTCCGACCCCGTCTAGGAGGCCTGGATTCTCTGAGATCCTCGACCCTCGAATTGAGAATAGGCTGGCGTCCCCCGGCCTCGCCCGGGCCTCGCTGGCCGCAACGTCGGCCTTCTCGCGGGCGTCGCGGGTGGCCCTGGTCGCCAAGGGCGCGGGCGAGGGCGGGCCCGGGCACGGCCGCGGGGCGGCGGAGGGGTTCCGTCAGGTGGAGGGTCTGGTCCAGGGGGGGCCTGGGAGTCGAGTCCAGGGGGCCCTGGGAGTCTAGTCCAGGTCCTCGTTGTCGTTGTCGTCGTCGTCCTCCTCCTCCTCCTCCGCCTCGTCCATCAGCAGCAGCATGATGACGATGGTCATCATCATCATCATCATCATCATCATCATCATCATCATCATCATCATCATCATCATCATCATCATCATCATCATCGTCAGCAGCAGCATCATCATCACGATCACCATCACCACCATCACCATCACCATCACCATCACCACCATCACCATCACCATCACCATCACCATCACCATCATCATCATCAGCAGCATCATCATCATCATTAGCAGCATCATCATCATCAGCATCATCATCGTCATTACCATTATCAGCAGCAGCATCATCATCACAATCACCATCACCACCATCACCATCACCATCACCAGCATCATCATCATCATCATCAGCAGCAGCAGCATCATCATCATCAACATCATCATCATCATCATCATCATCATTAGCAGCATCATCATCAGCGTTACGTAGCACCCCGCAATTGCGGATAAGAGTGAGGGGGCGGGCGCGGGCGACGCGGGCGTCGAGCCGGCGGACCTCGTGGCCCTCACCTTCCCTGTCGATGGCGCCCTCCTCCTCCTCCTCCTCCTCCTGCTCCTGCTCCTCCTCCTCCTCTTCCTCGTCCGCGTCCTCGTCATCATCATCGCCGTCGTCGTCCGCCTCCTCCTCCTCCACCTCCTCCTCATCCTCTTCCTCCTTTTCCTCCTCCTCCTGTTATTTCTTCACATTCTCCTTACATCCTCTCTCCTTCCGCGTCCTCCTCGTCCCCTGATTACTCCTCTGCCTCGCCCTTCTTTCTTAAGACAACGGCAAGCCAATCCTTTGCTCCACTGAATGCTCCCCGACTTCTCTGATCCAAGCAAATCGCCAGGGTAAAGTTGCTGGATGGGTTGGTGTGGATGAGCGGAGCTTGAAGAGGTCTTGGTGGGCTCAGACGGCATGCAAAATCCGCCGCCGCGCTTGTGCAGCACTGGCGTGCTGTGTGGTAGGGTTCGTGGACGCCCCCCTGAGGAGGGTCCTTGAGCGCCCCGAGGCCCCTTAATTGTGGGCGCCTTGAGGCAGCTTCCCCTGAACCCAGGCTTTGGGCACGGATGCCGATTTGTAGCAGGCAACTGGATTGTCAATGAACGTGTTCAGACACAGCCCCGCCGCAGGCGCCGATGTGCTGTTGTAGAGTCAACGTGGGCCGGATCGGGGGAATGGCACGAGGGCGTTTTCCCGAACCAATGCGAGCAAGCCCGCCGCAGGCGCCGATTTGCGTGTTCTGACAAGTTCAACGCGGGGGAGATCGCTGGTGGGCCACCAGGAACGTATGCAAAACAGCCCGCCGCAGGCGCCGAAAATTTGGATTTGTACACTGAACGCGGTTTGGGTCGCGGGTGGGTCGCAGGTTTTCCACCTGGAACGGATGCAAAAGAAGCCCGCTGCAGGCGCCCAAAATTTTGATTTGTACACTGAACGCGGTTTGGGTCGCAAGTTCTCCACCTGGAACGACTGCAAAAGAAACCCACCGCAGGCGCCGAATTTTGGCTTCTTCAGTGAACTTAGTTTGGGTCGCGGGTGGGTCGCGGGCTCTCCACCTCCGCCTGGAAGGAATTCAAAAACAGCCCGCCGCAGGCGCCGAAAATCTGGATTTGTACACTGAACGCGGTGTGGGTCGCAGGTGGGTCGCAGGTTCTCCACCTGGAACGAATGCAAAAGAAACCCGCCGCAGGCGCCCAAAATTTTGGGCGGGTCGCGGGGTGGGTCGCGGGTGGGTCGCGGGTGGGTCGCGGGTGGGGCGCGGGCGCGGTTTGGGTCGCGGGTGGGTCGCAGGTTCTCCACCTGGAGCGAATGCAAAAGAAACCCGCCGCAGGCGCCAAACATTTTGGGCGGGTCGCGGGGTGGGTCGCGGGTAGGTCGCGGGTGGGTCGCGGATGGGTCGCGGGTGGGTCGCGGGTGGGTCGCGGTGGGTCGCGGGTGGGTCGCGGGTGGGTCGCGGGTGGGTCGCGGGTGGGTCGCGGGTGGGTCGCGCGGTGGGTCGCGGGTGGGTCGCCGGTGTCGCGCGGGTGGGTCGCGGATGGGTCGCGGGGTGGGTCGCGGGTGGGTCGCGGGTGGGTCGCGGGTGGGTCGCGGGTGGGTCGCGGGGTGGGTCGCGGGTGGGTCGCGGGGCGGGTCGCGGACGGGACGACGACAACAACAATCAACAATCAACAATCAACAACAACAACAACAACAACAACAACAACAACAACAACAACAACAACAACAACAACAACAACAATCACTTTACCCGAACGCTCAGTGTTCTCACCAGTGCCAGGGTTTTCATGCGACGCCAGCCAATACCCCCACTTTGTGGGGGGGCAGTGCAAGCTCTACCAAATATCCACACGACTCTTCGCCACCACCCACACCCAGCTTCCCGCCCTATGACGTTCGGACACTTCACTTCGTGGCCTGCGGACGACCGTGGCTACTACACTGGCGTGGAGTACACACCCACAGAAGTTGTTAAGCCTACGTTCGTACACCCACAGAAGTTGTTAAGCCTTGTTAACCCACAGAAGTTGTTAAGCCTTCCACAGAACATCTGTTGCATATGATGCATATGGTACATGATACACATGATACACATGATACGTACTCACAAGATAGTTGATCACATCTTTAGGGCAAATTCCTGAGGGATGTGGGAATACACAAGAGAGAGAGGATATGGTTGTCCCGATGGTTGTCTCGATGGTTGTCCCGATGGTTGTCCTGATGGTTGTGGTTGTCCCGATCGTTGTCCCGATGATTGTCCCGATGGTTGTCCTGATGGTTGTGCTTGTCCCGATCGTGTGATTTTATGATGCGCGGTGCTTAAATTCTTAAGAAGCCCAATGGTTTTTGGAGATTTCGGCGTGCGCGCGCGAAGAAAAAACGAATGTGTCCCGCATGGTATTATTTGACAGGGATGATGGCCCTGGCAGGTGCGCAACCGTTGTCGCAGAAGTTCGAAAAAGTTGCTCGCAAAAGCCCGTTTGACAGAAATGTTTAAAAAGTGTTGGGTTTCCTACGAATCCGCAAGAGCGCGCGGGATGAGATTTTGACAGTTTTTTGTTGAAAAACCATTGGTTTTTTGATGTTTTTATGTTAAAATCGCTGCGAACACTAAGGTTTTGGAAGGATTTCGTCTTGCGCGCGCGAATGTCCACTTTACCTTATTTTTTGCAAGGGATTCTTGAAATTTGATTATATTAGAACAAGAAATGTCATTTTCTATTGTTTTTTGCAAGGGAAAGCGGATTACAACAAAACAACCGGATCCTGTACACACCCTCTTTTCTGAGGCTTCCTCACGAAAATGATGAAAATGTAGCTGCGGCCTAGGCGGCGCAGGGGGGGCGCGCACCAGGGGGCCCAACAATAATTATTCTTTAGAATACATAATGTTCAACAACAACAACAACAATTAGAGTGCAGCGGCAACGGCTTCCGGAAATCCATCCGACCGATAAACCGATAAACCGATAAAAACTAATCGGTTGAACGGTTTGCAAACCGATCAACCGATAAACCGATATAATCATATCGGTTTATCGGTCGATCTGCCGATAAACCGATCAACCGATAATCTTCGTATGCGAACATAGAGGCGATTGCTGGCGCGCCCTCCTCTCTTCGTCGGTTTATCGGTTTATCGGTTTATCGGTTGATCGGTTTATCGGTTGATTGGCTGGTCTGAGACCGCTGGGGGGAACCTGTGGAGGCGATCCTTGTGCCACATATCGGTTTATCGGTTTATCGGTTTATCGGTTGATTGTCAGTTCCCCGCCACGACGACGACGGCGACGGCGACGGCGACAGTGGCCGGACCGCCATGGGGCAGGGCACCTCCGAAGTCAGAGGTGCGAGGGCGTCTCAGGCACAAGTGGCCTGAACACCGCATCTCGGGGAAGATCGGGGGTCAGACTACGTGAAGGCAGGGCGCATCCCAGGTCAACGCTGCGAGTTTTTGCGCAGGCGGAACTGGCCAGCACAATTTGGGGCAGGGAAGAATATCAGAGGTCAGCGTTGCGAGGATGTCTCAGGATGAGGATGAGGAAGGTCATGCTGATGATAATGATGGCGATGGCGGCAGCCGCGCGGGAGGCAAAATCTGGCGGGGCAAATTTCGGCGGGAAGCAAGTGCGAGGATGGCTCAGGCGATGGTGGCCAGATTACTTCAACTCAAAGAAGATCGGATCCCAGAATGCTGCGGATGCTTTAAGCGGGATGCGCCGGTGTGGTGAAGATGTCCCAGGCGAGAGCGCTAATAATCACTTGTCGTGGTCGTCGTTGTCCTCCTCCTCCTCCTCCTCCGTGTCCTCCTCCACCCTCTCCTCCTTTCAGAGTCAAGGGCGCGCGATTGCGGTAAGCCGCCGTGAGGCGCTCTAATTGGACGGATTGCCACGGTGAGGCAAGGATATGAGGGGGTAGCCAGGAGTCGGAGGACACCCCAGCGTCCTCATCCCATTCGTCCCCTCAATGATGCGCTGTCCCTTCTCGGGACTGGGGGGGCAAGGAACGCCTTCGTAGTGGGTCTGATGTGCCGGGCCATCGAACATTCATTTGCGTGGCAATCGAATCGGTCACCCAGGATGCCGGTTCTGCCTCGACGAAGCCTCATGGACGATGCTGGGGTTCTTCCCCTCTAATCCCATGGTGGGGCTCGCCAGCCACCGGCGCTTGATACCCGGTCCCCCCTTGGGCGTTGGTACCCATAAGCCAATCGACTTCTAACAAGCTCCTCCTCCTCCTCCTCCTCCTCCTCCTCCTCCTCCTCCTCCTCCTCCTCCTCACCTCTGCCAGCCGAGCCGGGCCGAACCGCAGGCGGGCCAGCCAAAACG